TCCATCATTCTCTAGGGTATATAATTAATAATGGAATTTCTGCATCATAGACTATGAATAGCTTCAATTTTAATGGACAAGTCCAAAGATTGTTTTTCTTTTTTTTTTTTAAAGCTCAAACTTTACTCTTTAAATTTTTTTTTTTTTTGGTGGAGGGGAGGTAATTAGGTTTATTTATTTATTTGTTTTATAGAGGAGGTACTGGGGATTGAACCCAGGACCTAATGAGGGCTAAGCATGTGCTTTACTACATGACCTATATCCACCCCCACCAAAGACTGTTTTTCAAAGTAATTGTGTTAAGTATTATAGTTATCCTCCTCATTTTACTGATGAGGGAACTAAGGCTCAGGGATGTTCATCAGTAGCTCAGGACCACCAGCTCCAAGGGGCTGTAGCTATGATTAATACCAAGTCAATCTGACTTTGCAACCCAGGCTCTTAACCAACTCACTACCCACCCTCTACTTCAATTAAGGTCTGCTCAACTTCTGAAACTAGAAAGCCAATAATAACTCGGTAGCTTAAAAATATAAATGTTTTTTCTCTCTTGTATCACAATCTGAACAGACTGTTTCAGATCAGGAGACACTTCTGTTCCACACCACCATTAAGAAATCAAAGTTACTCTAGGACCTCGTCATGGGGTGCATGGTTGAGGCCAGACTGGTGCCATGTTTGAGTTCCAGCTGGTGAGAGAGCGAAATTATGTGCAAGGTTTTATGTATGTGTAAGTTTTTGTGAACTTGGCCTGGAAGTGGTCCGTATCCCTTCTTAGTCACCTGGCCGTGCCTAGCTGTGATGGACGGTGGAAAATGTAGACCCTGACTGGACAGTCACATCCCAGCTCAATTCTATGATTGTGGACGATGGGGAAGATGGATTTTGGTAGACAATTGGCCATCTCACTGCAATGTATTGCTTCCCCCCTCTCATTTCTGGAATTGTTTCTTCCCTGCTTACTTTGTTTAGTAACTTTCCCCTTCTTTTCTATCTCATGGCAACCTCAGGGACACATTATGTAACCAGTGAGTAGGTTTTAGTTCAAGAAGAAGGCAATAGTTTTGTTCTAGGTAGTTGTTGGGCAAAGTGGATAGAAGTGCCCTCCTATACCATCTGACTCTTTATAATAATCATATTTTGAGGGCTTACTTCCTGTAAGGCATGGAGCACATGCAGAGACATCATGTCTGTTTACCATACATAGGAGTTCCAGAAAACAGCCTGTGTGGATGAAGAGTTAAGGGCACATGCACCTACAGAGTGAGATTAGAACCAAATCATAGAATCCAGATATGTAGCCATGTCCTACCCTGCAGGGAGAGTCCTACGTAGCACATGCAGAGAAGCTTGGACTGGATGGGAAGGAATGTGCATTCGGTGTGTGCTTCACAAAGGACGTGCTATGGAAGAACCTCACACTCTGAGTAACCCCTCCCTTCCATCTCAGGACTGGACATACAGCCTTGAGCCTTAGCAACGATGGGTCTTAAGGGGCTTGCTCTGTGGAAATCATGGTTTCTTCTATTCAAATGGTCCCATTCAGTGTTCTGTGGGTCTCCTGATATCTAGGGGCATCCTCAAATAGAAGTGACTGGACTGTCAGGAGGAGCGTTTTCTGTATCTGTTGGGGAAGTCTGCCTGGATTCTGTAGGAGACCAGATGAGATGACCTCTAGTTCCTTTCCAAATCCGGGCCTGTGTTCTAAGGTTAAATGGATATTGTTCTAAGGTGTCAGACATCCTGAACCACTAACATCTGGTCTTTTCTTCCGCCTCATGGAAAAGAGGATGCCGCTTTCTGCCACAGATGGCCTATCCTGGGAAAACTGGAGGAGCTGCTGGACAAGAGTTGGGGGTGAAAAGGGTGAGGATCAGAAAGATGTCACAGTGTGTCCTGGCTCTGCCCTAGCTGGGCAAATCTAACCTCAGTTTCTCATCTGTAAAATGTACTTGTATCTGAGAAGGAAATAATAATTATCCCCATTTTACAGAGGAGGAATCTGGGGCTCAGCGAAGTTACTATACAAAGTAGAGTCAGGATTCAAACCTAGGCAGTCTGACTCAGAGCTGAAGCTCGAAATTATTAAGAATCACTCTTGGGGTGGGGTGTGCAGGATGCGTCGGGGGAGGAAGAAGTAATCTAACACGTTTAATGCGGATCTCCACTGTTAGAGGTAGAGAGTAAGTGTTCCAGCGGGAAGGGAGAGAGCTGTCGTGAGTGGGCAGGAAGGAGAGGAACACAGACTCACTGTGAGTCTCTCTTGCCGTTTTTCTCGGCTTTACAGCCTCAGGCAGGCACCATGCGGGGGAACAGCCACGTTAACATCGGCCTAGGGCGTCTGCCCCCCGCCAAGAGGCCATGCAGCACCCTCTCTGCAGGGCGCCACTCCCTCCCTCCCCCCAGCAGCCAGGGTTTGGAGGAGGGGGGAGGGGGTGCAGCGGTTGCCACAGTTTATGCTCCTCCGGATCTCGGGGGCAAGATTTTCCCAAAAAGCCATATTAAATAAATAAAAGGAAATTCAGCAGATGGAAACATGAATCAATGAAAACTCCCATATGAGTGCAAAGATTTATGTCAAAAAACAAAACATCAACATCTGGGAGCTGCCGCGGCTCCTCTTGGCTGCTCGTTTGGAATGGATTCTCTGTGTCGCTTTCCGTCTCTTTCTGGCCCTGAGAGAGGACAGAGAGAAAGAATGAAGCGCTTTTAAAAAACAGTCATTTTTAGGCAGAAGTGAACGCTGTTTTCCCCCTCAAGGATGTAGGAACCGTGATCCGGGCTG